GGCCACTGCACTCCAGTCTGGGCGACAGAGTGAGACTCCAACTCAAAAAAAAAAGATAGCAGAGATTTGAAAACATCAAAATACCATTGGAAAGGAGGCTGCAAGACAAAGAGGCTGAAAAGAAGGTACAATTAATAGCAAAGTTCCTGAGAAGGCCAGAGGAAATGGGATCTAGAGCTTTGCATCAAAGTGTGGTCCATAGACTATTTAATACTATGATCACCTATCAGAAATGTAGAATCTCAGACCCCACTCCAGACCTACTGAATCTGATTTGCATTTTAGGGAGATCGACATTAGAGCTTGGGATGCACTGATCTAGAGCTGAGCTCCATTCTAATGGGAGGGAAGGAGGAGAGGATTATGCCCTTGGTGGTTGATTTCACGTCTGATGGCAGAAACTAAAACAATTTGTCTGTAAGTTTCTATATCTCTGTCAAAGAGGAATTCGGGTTATCTGCTGACACTGGTAAAGAAGGGGGTAAAGGGAGAGATTGGAGATTTTAGGAACACTGAGAAAGCTTAAAATAGTCACTATGGAAAATGCAGCAGAAGCTGACCTCAAAAGCACAGAATTCAGAAGTGCTGCTCAGACTCCAGTTGGAGGGGGTAGGTGAATTTTTAGAGGGTACAGAGCTCCCAGGTGGTGTGCTTATTTTTTTCCTATCCCCTCCCAAAAGTTAACAGCCTAGATGCAACTGTGGGGCATCCAGATAGCTTGATTCACCCAGGACTAGGCTTTTGACAGGTGATGACATAAATACAAAGTATCCAGCAAGTTTAGGACACAGACAAGAGAGTGATTAAAGCAAAGGACCATGCATTCTAAGGATAGCAAGGAAGTAAAAACAGGAAGGCAAGATGGATTAAGACAAAGCAGAGGGGATGAAGAGTAAAAAAGTACGTGTACACTTTTAAAAAAATTTTTTGTAAGAGATGAGGTCTCACTATGTTGCCCAGGTAGGAATGCGGTGGCTATTCACAGGTACGATCATCATACACTATAGCCTCAAATACTGGGCTCAAGTGATCCTATTCTCCTGCTTCAGCCTGCTGAGTAGCTTCAGTCACACGCCACCACCTCTGGCAGCTAGTCCTTAGACTACTATTAACATGTGTTAATGTTATATGAACAAGAAAAATATTAAGAGGTGTTTTTCTCCACTAGAGACAGGGTCTCACTCTGTTGCCCAGGTTGGAGTATAGCGGCACGATCATGGCTCACTGCAGTCTTGAAATCCTGAGCTCAAGCGATCTCCTGCCTCAGCCTCCTGAGCACCTGGGACTACAGGTACACACTACTATGCCCAGCTAATTTTTCTATTTTTTGTAGAGACAAGGTCTCACTTTGTTGCCTAGGCTGGTCTTGAACTCCTGGCCTCAAACACTCCTCCTGCCGTAGCCTTCCAAAGTGCTAGGATTACAAGCTTGATCTACTGTGCCCAGCCAAAAAATATTAAGGGGTTTAAAAAAATTGACTACAGCCGGGCTTGGTGGCTCAGCCTGTAATCCCAGCACTTTGGGAGGTTGAGGCAAGTGGATTGCCTGAGCCCGTGGGTTCGAGACCAGCCTGGGCAACTTGGAGAGACTTTGTCTCTACAATTAAAAAAAATTAGCCAGGCGTGGTAGCACACACCTGTAGCTCTGGCTGCTTGGAAGGCTGAGGTGAAAGGATGTCAGAGCCCAGCAGGTCGATGCTGGGATAGCCGTGAGCATGCCATTGCACTCCAGCCTGGGCAACACGGTGAGACTCCAACTCAAAAAAAAAACAACAAAAAAACCTGACTATATTCAGATTGACCTGAGTAAGCTGAAAGATGAAAAAGGCAAGATATTCATGGTTGATATAAGTACTGCATTATACTACCTGTCATGATCTATATGCCCTTTTAAGGAGGATTTTCTCTCAATTAAATATTCTAAAGAGTTATATAACATGGGAAGTATTTGTAATGAATTGTATTTTAAATGTGTCCATGTAAACTCATCTTAAAAATACAAATCAGCCGGGCTTGGTGGCTCAGCCTGTAATCCTGCGCCTTTGGGAGGCTGAGGTGAGTGGATTGCCTGAGCCTGCGGGTTCGAGACCTGACTGGGCAGCGAGACCTCATCTCTACAATAAAATCAAAAAATCAGCTGGGCATAGTAGTACATGCCTGTAATTCCGGCTACTTGGAAGGCTGAGGCGGAAGGATCGTTGGAGCCCAGCAGGTTAAGGCTGCGGTGGCCGGTAGCGGCCACTGCACTCCAGTCTGGGTGACAGAGTGAGACTCCAACTCAAAAAACAAAAACAAAAACAAAAAACAAATCATCAGGAGACTGAGGCTTGAGGTCAGATGTTTGAGACCCAACCTAAACAACATAGAAAAACCCCTCACAAGAAGGAAGGAAGGAAGGAAGGAAGGAAGGAAGGAAGGAAGGAAGGAAGGAAGGAAGGAAGGAAGGAAACTAGTTGGGCATGGTGGCATGCACCTATAGCCCCAGCTATTCAAAAGGATTTCTTGAGCCCAAGAGTTCAAGGCTGCAGCGAGTTATGACCATGCCACTACACTCATCCAGCCTGGTGAACAGACAGATACCTTCTCTCTTAAAAAAAAAAAATCAATAATTGCTGGACATGGTGGCTCATGCCTGTAATCCCAGCACTTTGGGAAGTGGAGACGAAAGGATTGCCTGAACCCAGGGGTTTGAGACTGACTGGTCAACTTGGTGAGACCTCTACAATAAATCAAAAAAAATTAGCTGGGTATGGTGGCGTGCACCTGTGGTTCCAGCTACTTGGAAGGCTGAGGCCGAAGAATCACCAGAGCCCAACAGATCAAGGCTGCAGTAGCCATGAGCATGCCACTACACTCCAGTCTGGGCAACAGTGAGACTCCAACTCTAAATAAATAAATAAATAGTTATGTGCTATTTTTGAGTGTCTACACTCAAGAATAAGGATCCTGGATATAGTCAACTATTCAGGTGATCACTGGTAGAGGCTGATTTTCTTCCAAAGAAAATATCCTACTTTGTTCCAGATTACCTGATGCAATCCTTACCTGAGAGTTCAAACAGATAGATTGCTTGAGTGGCTTTAACGACATCATCACTGAGAGAGTCCTTAACAATTCTAAATGTTTCTTCTACAGCTCCGGAACATGGCTTTGTCTGTGGCTTAGGCCTCTCTTCTTTGAGTTGTAGAGTGGCACCTATGAAATATTATTCACGTAAATGGTCTTAAAGTTGTGGCAGTGTAAAGCCACACACAGAATTAATTAATCAGCAGGACAGACTTGCTAACAATTAGACCTATTTCACCAAAATGACTTTAAATGCATTAAGTGGCATCTAAAAGTTAAATCAAATTGATAGCATAACAGCCAAAAACACATTAATTATGACTATAAATGTAAATGGTTTAAACCAAATAAAAGGCTGACTTTTAGATTAGGTTAAAAATTACTAAACTATACAATGTTTATAATAAATAGACCTAAACACAACTATTGGAGCTTTAGGGATGATAGTTAATCATTCCTTTATCATCCCTGAGTTCTAAAACCAAATGAGAAAAAAAGACAGAATTAGAAATATGGAGATAAAAATATCAACTGTGGAATTAGTGGAGCTAAACTGGAGATTTCAGTTTGAATCAACAGCCAAATGAACTTCTTCATCATTCTATGTCTAAACTAAATGTTTTTACCTAATCCTTTCACTCATGAATTGAACCTGCATCCTCCCATCAAGGGTTAGAGATGATGTGTAAGTTGAAATCCTGTGAAAACTGAAGACAGCCTTCTCAGAATGAGAGAAGGCTCAGAAGAGCCTGAACCACATAAGTTCAGTTTCTTCTTCCCACCTCACTTATTCAGATTGGTCCCTTCCCCTGGATGAAAAGGGAGGTCAAACTATTAGTCTCATGAAGGCTTCCCTGTCTGGAAACATGAGACCAGGGGAACGGGGGTTACCTGCAACATTTTAAAACTTGCGTTCACTTAATACATTGGTATATAATCAGCCAGGGGAGAAGACAGCAGTTCATAGGACTGTCTTGCTCCCCTGTCATGTTGCTGCCACCTAATACTATCCCTGTTCCTTTATTTATCATCCTAGAATCATTTGGGGACAGCTTGGTAGTTGTTTCCAGAAACGAGAACAATTCATTGATTACATTAACTCCAAGGCCAATCTGTGCTCTAGGCTGAAAGTTAACTCCCCATCTATTTCACAACTCAAATGTTACCAGCCATCTTATCCGATACAATTCATCAAAGGTTATTAAGTAAAATCTAATTGGCAGCAGAAAGACATAGTAGAAAGTAAGCTACATAAGATATATTGAATATAAAGCGCCTTCCATTATTATGTTTATAGAGAAAAAAAAATCCTACTCCTTTTATAAGTTAAAGTTCCAAGCATTTACTGAATATTAGAGATTTCATATTAGACATGAAATTCTTAGGATCCAGTGGAGCAAAAATATATCTACATAGACAAAAAAATTTTTTAGCCCATTTAAAAAATTTTTTTGAATTCACTATAGACAGTGTACCCTATTATTGCCTACACTCTGGACAAACTGCTTTTCCTGCCTCACCCTTAGCATGGCACTGTGCTTTTTACTGGCTGTTAATATATACAGAAACAAGCCGGCTTGGTGGCTTGGCCTATAATCCCACCACTTTGGGAGGCCAAGGTGAGTGGATTGCCTGAACCTGCGGGTTCAAGACTAGCCTGGGCAACTTGGCGAGACCTCATCTCTACAATTAAAAAAAACAAACAAAAACCAGGCATGGTAGCACATGCCTATAGTTCTGGCTACTTGGAAGATTGAGGCAGAAAGATTGCCAGAGCCCAGCAGGTCAACACTGGGGTGGCCATGAGTGTGCCACTGCACTCCAGCCTGGGCGACAGAGTGAGACTCCAACTAAAAACACACACACACACACACACACACACAAACAGCAATTCGAAGAGTACAGCTCCTTTTGCTTTGGCTGTTTGCATTCTTTTTTTGCTTCTGTATGGAATAGTGTATTGTCTTTTCTAGGTCTGTGAAAAATAATATTGGCAATTTGATAGGGATTGCATTGAATCTGTAGATTGCCTTGGGTAGTACAATGGACATCTTGACAATATTGCTTCTCCCAACCCATGAGCATGGATGTTTTTCCATTTGTTTGTATCATCCTTGACTTTCTTTTTTTTTGAGTTGGAGTCT